ATTTGCCACTTGACTTGTTTCTCATCCGTGTGCCCTACGAGGAGTTCCCTGAGGCAGGGCCCTGGTCTGCCTTGTTCCCATACAGGAGCCGTTGCAGAGCACACAATGTCATTGAGGCCCCTCCCCGGGCCTCAGTTTCCCCATCTGTGACGTGCACGGTTGGGCTAAAGTCATTCAGCCAGTGGATGCACTCATTGAGCACCTACTGTGTCCAGGCACTGATGGAGTGGAGATACCTTAATAGAAAAAGACCTTGATTCTGGACCGAGGAGCAGACAGTCTAGAGTCACGTGCCCAGAGGCCATGAGAGCCCGGCGGGCCCAAGGCCTCCGAATGGGGAGCCTGGTGGGGACACGGAGGAGGCTGCTGACCTCTGTCTCCAGAGGATGGGGTCCGGGAGGGCTTCCCGGAGGTGGTGATGACTGAGCTGTAAGATGTGCAGGAGCATGGACGACAGTGCACGGGGCAGAGGGAGCGGACCAAGCAAAATGGCCGTTACTGACGGCCCGGGTCCCATTTACAAGTGCTCAGTAAACAGCTGGGGAGCAAGTGAAATTCTCTAGTTTACAGGTGGGGAAACTGAGGCCCAGGGAGGTTTCACAGCACCCCGAGAGCTCTGGCCTGCCCGGATGAAGCCTTCCGCCTCGTCGGAGCGCCCCCCAGGCGGCCGTTCCATGGGTGTCCCTCTGAAGGCCAGGACTATGCCGTGACGGGGCCCAGCCCAGGCTTCTGCAGCCACATGAAAGGCTTGGGATATTTTTGCCAGGAGGGCAGGCCCCGGTGGCCCGAGGGCTGTGTAATTAGAGGTGGCTCCCAGCCCACCAGAGGCTGCGGTGGGCCAGGCGGCCCCAGGCTCAACTGGGGAGGACCCTGGCAGAGCCTGGGGTGTGGGGGTTCCCTCCCCTTCTCTGCCTCCTCGGCCACGGCCAAGGCTGCTCAGCAGGGCGGGGGCTCAGCTGTTAATTGTACGGCGGGCACAGGGCGGGGGCCCGGGATTGCCGCAAGGCCGGGATTACAGGCTGCAGACGAGTGGCCCGGCCTGCTCCACGCCACAGCCCGGCCGCTCACCTTGAATCCACAGCGGGGCAGGCCCTGAGGGCCATCTGGGCCGGGCCCCACAGCAGGCCCTGGGACTGGACAGAGAAGAATGTGGGACCTTCAGGCAGACAAAGACTGGCTGGACCCAACTCTCAGAGCGTGAGGTTGTCAAAACCTGGGGATGCAGGAGGGGAGGTCGGAATGGTCATTCGCACATCAACAAGCATTTATTGAGCACCTTCTGTGTGCCAGGCACAGTCCTAGATGCTGGCATTTTGGCAGGGCGCAAAACAGACCTGCAGGCCTGGCTCAACTTTTTTTTTTTTTTAAGTTTATTTATTTACTTTGAGAGAGAGAGAGAGAAAACCAATGGGGGAGGGGCAAAGAGAGAATGGACGGAGGATCTGAAGCAGGCTCTGTACTGACAGCAGAGAGCCTGATGCAGGGCATGCATTCACAAGCTGTGAGATCATAACCTGAGCCAAAGTCGGATGCTTTAATGGACTGAGTCACCCAGGTGCCCCATGGCTTATCTACTCTTAAAGGACAATAACCTTCAGGCATTGCTCTGAAGGTGCCGGGTTTCATCTTCCTCAGGGCCTTTGCACGTGGTATTCTTGCTGCTGGGAATTCTCTTGCCTCCTTGCCTTCCTAAATACCTCCTCCTCATCCTAATGAGCAACTTTGCTGTTACCTCCTCATGGAGGCCCCCAGGAGCTCTGGGACCAGACTAGCCCCCTACAGCGCCAGAACCGCCCCCTCCCAACCCTGAGCCCAGTTTGCAGTTAGATATTCATTTGTTCATATACTCGTTTACTTCAGGTCTCCCTTCTACTCTGAAGCTCTGTGCCCGTGTCTGCTCAGCACTGTCTCCCAGAGCCTGACACCGGCTGGGTGTAAAGGACACATCAAGAGAAATTTGTAGAACGAACGAAGTGCAGACTGTGGGAGCGCTGGGACCTCAGTGTTGGCAGGCTCGTGGAAGACATGCAGTCCAAGCCCACATTTAGCTGCAGCCTAGAGAGGGGCAGGGGTTTGCCCAGCCCCCTCCCACCTCCCCAGCTGCTGGGTGAGCTGGGGCTGGAACTCGGGAATCCTTTCTGCCCCTGAGGGTCACTGACGTTGTGCTGTCCTCAGACCGTGGGTTGGGGTGTCTGGCTTACGGAGAGCGTGTGTGCCTTTGTGGGCACGTCTGTGTGTTGGCGCAGTCTGGTGGGCCTCTCACGGGGCAGATGGAGGCAGTACAGGGGTCCTACGGTGGGGAACGAGTCCCTTGGCAGCGGAAGGGTCACTGGCCTGGCAGTTTCATTTCCAGATAAGACACAGGGGCTGAGGAAGAAGAAACGGCTCTGATCTCTGCATGCGTTTGGAGCTAGTTCACGCTGCTGTGAACCTCAGTTTCCACATCTGTCAAATGGGATTGGCTTCTTTATCCTCTCCCCAGGCACTTAGGGAGCCTGGTGGGCTTGAGGCACCGCCGTGGGCTCTGTGGAGGGTGGGTGACGACAGGACACAAGTAATAATATTCAGTCTCAGTGTGGCAGGCGGAATAAGGCCCCTCCCCCAGAGACACCCACATCCTGAGCCCTGAAACCTACAGATATGTGTCACCTGCGAATGTGTCACCCGGCATGGCATGGCAAAAGGGTTTTGCGGATGGGATTAAGGTAAGGTTAGGAGATGGGAAAGTCATCCTGGGCTAGCTGGGTGAGTCCAATGTCATCCCAAAGGTCCTCGAAATTGGGAGAGGTGTGGAAGAGAGCCAGAGAGATGCAGCGTGAGGCCTCAGCTGGGTGGCTTCCAGCGTCCCTCCCCTGAATACTGGGGGATGAAACATCTCTGACCTCTGGCTGCCAACACTGTGAATGACGGATGTGTGCTGTTTAAGCCGCTAAGTTTGTGGTCATTTGTTATGGCGACTGTAGGAAACTCATACACGTGGCATCTAAGCAATGCTCGTTTCTGCCCTGCAGCTCTTCTGACTTTTCCCAGAAGCCTTGTGAGCAGCAGAGGTTCTCTGCCCTCGGTTTCCAGATGACCCTGACTTAGGCGGGGGCCACCGGGCCATCCTCTTTGGGTGGGTTGTGCCCCTGCCTCTTGATTTCGCAGGGTCAGATTCCCTGCAGCCCTCAGGCTTTGCGGGCAGGGGCTCCTTCCCCCGGGCAGCGGGCCCTGGGTGCCCCTTAGCCTTCTTGAAGGTGGGGACCAGCCACTGGTGCCTGGGGGGCGTGTGCGTCTATGAGCGTCCACTGGCCGGCAGTCATTCGTTTCCTTGAGGATGCAGGGTTTGGGGGTGACCCCAAGAGAAAATGGGATCTTCTCTGTTTTTGTTTCCAAACAACGCCCCCCCCCCCCCCGCCGCCTTTGGAGGTGAGTAGGGGTTGCTGGGACCTTTGGAAGGAATGGCAGTCATCTAGAGTCCTGGTTCCTAAAGGGCGGGCAGGAACTGTTAATTCACGCACTCCCCCTGTCCCGTTTCTTCTGTGGCTCCCTACTGCCTCCTACCCGGTGACTTCTGACGCTCTTGCTGACTTCATTACCTGCACCTCCCTTGTATCCGCCTCATGCTCCAGCCTAACATGCTGCCACAGTGTGGCATTCCAGCTGCGGTGCCTTCATCCAGGCTGGTCCTGCTGCTGGGATGCCCTTCCAGGGTGTCTTGTTCAGATTGTCTGCTGTCCTCCACGACGACTCCCGCCTCCTCTATCCGGGGACCTCTCCCTGCCCTGGGGTTCCCTGAGCTCTGGGCCTGACCTCTCTCCTACATATCTCTTTCCCTTTCATAAAAAAGTAATTCATGCATGCGTCCTTCTCCCTGGACTTCTACAGAGGGCTGGGTTGTGTGAGATGTACCCCTGAGACCTGATTGGCCTGGTGCCTGGCACACTACGGGTGTTCAGTAAGCGTTTGCGAACGAATAAATGAATGAATGAATGAATGAATGAATGACTCCCACCGGAGCTCTCGGGTCAGCCAGAGATCCCAGGTGCAGAATCACTATTGACTTGCCTCAGTTTCCTGGTTAAGCCACTTGAATACACCCTGCCTCACTTTTCCCACCTGTGAAATGGGCCCCCACGCATGCTCCAGCCACTCCATTTGGAGTATTGTGGGGTTTTTTTTTTTAATGTTTATTTTTGAGAGAGAGCGAGACAGAGGGTGAGGCCAGGAGGATCAGGGGGGTGCAGAGCTCAGAATCTGAAGCAGGCTCCAGGCTCTGAGCTGTCAGCACAGAGCCCTATGTAGGGCTCGAACCTACAAACTGTGAGATCATGACCTGAGCCGGAGTCGGACACTCAGCCGACTGAGCCACCCAGGTGTCCCTCCGTTTGAGGTATTGTAAGGCCACAGATCTGAGAATGTCAGAGCCAGAGGGAGCCCAGGAAGCTTCCCACCCACCCTGGCAAACAAGGAAACTGAGGCCTGGAGAAGGGAAGAGCCCAACCAGGGCCAGACAGTGGGTGCCAGAGCTCAGCTCCCTGCTGCAGATCTGGACCCCCCCATGAGGCCTCTGCTCAGGCTCTCCCTTCCACACACCCCGCTCCCACTCTGCACCCCGAGCCACTCGGAAAACCTGAGTCACAGCTGGAATCGAGGCTGGGGAATTTTCCTCCTCACTTCCAGGGGCCCCTGAACCTCCCTGGCCTCCTACCCTTTGGAAGGGAGGCAGGCCCCCGGCTCGCTGTTCTGGGGGAGCGCTGCAGGACAGCCCTGTCTGTCTGTCCGCCCCAGGGCCAGTCCTGGGGACCCCCCCATCAAGAAGGAAGTGCCCCAGCTGGTGCTCCCCAGAGGTGGAGGGGTGCCTGGGGGAGTGCGGGCTGTGAGCGAGGGGGGGATTGTGTGTGGCCAGCGCAGCCCCGCCCCTCCCCTGTCCCCACCCCAAACCCTCCTAATGGAATCAAGCTGGCCCCGGCCGGCCTGCCGGCGGGAGGAAGGAGGCGGGGGCAGGGGCGGCGGCGGCGGCGGGCCGAACAGCGGCAGCTGGCACTCTCCGACGCTCCACCTGGCGGGAGCACCCAGGCCTGCGTGCGCGGAGGGACGGGTGAGTCCCCGCGTCCCCTCTGTCCGGGGAGCCTGGCGGTGGCTTGGGGCTCAGGGCCGGGGTGGGGGGGCTGGCGCGAACACTCTGGGGGGCGTCTGTAAGTACGCGTGCATTCCGAGGGTGTGCCGGGGGCCCTGCGCGCCTGTGATCTGCGCTAAGGGTCTGCGTGGCGGGACGTGTGCGCACCTTCGCTGTGTTGTGCGGAGATGAGGGGGGCGGCGCATGTGTGCAGTTGTGGCCGGCCCGGCCCGCAGGGGCTGTGTTCTCCATGCGGTCGGCGCAGGGTCAGCGCGGGGCTCTTGCGGACCGGACCACGCCATCCCGTCTGTGGGGGCCCCAGAGTGTGTCGGGGATTGTGTACGCGCCCTTGTGGCCCGAGAATCAGCCCGTTGTGGGGCTGTCGTGCGTCCTCTGTGCATCCGTGCCGGTGGGCCGGGCAAACTTTCTGGGGTGTCTGGGCGGCTGTGTGGCCCCGTGGCTGTGCGTGTGCCTTGTGAGACAGGCTAGTTTGTCTGTGTTGTGTGTCCGTATATTGTGTGTCCACGCTGCTGCTGCTGCTGCTCTGTGTGCGTGTGTATTTTGAACCTCCGGACTCCCCTTCCCTCTCCCGGCCTCCCTTCCAAGGGACCGAAGCCCCTGTCCTTGGCTGCCCTGGGGCAGAGGGGTGTAGCGCCTCAGCCAGACCCCCTCCCCCAACAGCCACTAATTGAAGCCAGGTTTTTGTGGGCTGCCCCTCCCCCTCTGGCCACCAGTGTCTGTGTGGGGGTGGGGTGGTGGCTCAGGCCTCTCCGCCTCAGGTTCCCAGGCCCTAGGGGTGGATTTGCAGCACCTGTGGATGCCCCAGGCACATTTCAAGCCAGAAGCCCGAGTGAGATTGGCCCTAAAGAGAGGCCTGCCCCAAGCTGGGGGTTCTGCTGGGGGCGAGGGTGCTTCACAGTCAGGTGGCCACTCATTGATACCTACTCCTCATCTGGCACTGCTGTTTCTTGTCCTGACAGTAGTCCAAAGAGGTGGCCCTTATCCCCATCGCACAGATGTGGACACCGAGCCTCACAGAGGTGACATGCCCAACCCGGGACACATAGCTGGGCGGTGGCCCCTCTGGGCTGCTCTGCCCTGCTCTCCCTTCAGGGCTCTGCCTCAACTGGCTGTGTGATCATGGGCAGATCCCGCTCTCCGGCCCGAGTTTCCTCTTGGGTGAAATGACAGGGGTTGGCCTCACCCCAGCTGCCACTGGCCTGTGAGTGTCTGAGCCCTGGAAAAAAATCAGGACTCAGGAAGCTAGGCTAACCTTCCCCCAGAAGGAGGTCGGATGGCTGACGGACAGAGGGATCCCTCCAGAGCCGTCCAGGCCGGTTCCCACTCTACAGAGGGGAAACTGAGGCCCAGAGAAGGCAGAGGCTCATTGAATAGGATCCCACAGCCATTGCCTTCGAGGCCCAACCGGCTTCCCACACTTTGCCTGCACCTTTCTGGGAAGCCAGAATGTGGGGTGTGGGCGGCCTGAGAGTCAATCTCGGCCTTTAACAGCCAGTGATAGCTGCGTGCCTCTCTCCTTATCCTCTGTCCCTGACCCCAAGGCTCTGGGGGGAAGGGAGCCCTTCCCTCTATCCAGCTGTGTGTTATGTGTGTGTGTGTCTGTCTGCATGCACATGGGTGTGCGCCCTGGATTCCCAGGTGGCCAGAGCTGAAATTTCACTTAACAGGGTGAAAAAGTTGGTCATTTCTTGAGGGGTGGGGGCGGGGGGGGCAATGAGCCACTTTACACATCAGGTGAAGAAGATCATCTTTTGTCATCTTGGTGGGGAGATGCCGCTCGCCCTGGGCTCGGCTGGGGTCGGAACGCGGCTGCTGCTCAACCCCACCTTTCCTGGGTGTACAGGAGCTCTGTGCCAGCTGTTGTCTCCCCGTTATCTTACCCCCGGCCCTTAGGACCTGTGCTCACCTCCCCGCCGACTCCCCACTTTACAGATGAGGAAAGTGAGGGCCGGAGGGAGCAGACCGCAGAGGCGGTCTCCATGGTTCCAGCCACTTTGCTGCCGACAGGACTTGCCAACCAGGCCTCCAGGACAGGCCCCCCGGGGACTCCCCCAGGACAGCCCCCTGGGCACCACTGGGCATAGCCCCTTTGTGGTGAGAAGCTTCGGCCACCACTATGAAAGGTCTCAGGCAGGGAGGTGACTGGTGGACAGAGACCCCCAAGGATCAAAGGTGTCTGTAGGGACCTTTGCTAACAGTGCAGTGGGGGTGGGGGGTGCCGGCTCGGTTCTGGGCCAGCCCCGGGCACACACGAGCGTGTGGTGTGTGAATGGATGTAAGTGTGTATGTGTGTGTGCATGTGTGTGTATAGCCTGTACATGTATGAATGTGGGTGTGTGCATGTGTAGGAGTATGTGTGTGTGTTGTATGTATGTGCATATGTTTGTATAATGTGTGAGTGTGTGCATGTGTATATATGGCATGTATGGTGTGTATGTGTGTGTGGTATGTGTGTATGTGTGTTTTTGTGTGAGTGTGTGTATATGTGTGTGTATGGTGTGAGTGTAAATGTATATGTATAGCACGTGAGTGTGTGTGGTGTGTGTGAGCTATGTGTGGGTGTATATATGTATGTGTAGTATGTGAGTGTGTACATGTATACACCTGGTGTGTGTGTGCATGTGTATGGACTCTGAGTCACACAGAGGAGGGTTAAACTCTCGGCTCTGACACGTACCCTCTGGTGTCCCTGGGCAAGTCACTGTCGCCTGGGACCCTCCAGCCCGACCTTCAGGCAGAGGTGAGGCCCCCCAGGGCTGAACCGTAGGGTTGCTTTGGGGCAGGGCCGCTGGCAAAGGGGCGGGGCCTCTGGCAAAGGAGGGAGCTTCTCCTGTTAGGAAAGCACGGGGTCATCAGCTCATTTAAAACGAACCCCTGAACAGTTTTGCGTCTTTTATGTCCTGGAATTATCTTTCTGTTCTCTGCCATCTGAGGCAGTTTGTCCAAATTTATGTCAGTACAATTAATTTCAATTAACGATGCTTAATTGGGAGGCTTCAGATCATTAGGAGCAAGCCACTCAATGGCCGGGATCCTAACTCACCACCCCCAAGCCCCCCTAGCCCCCGCCACATCCCCACACTTACCCCGTGCTGTCAGCTGATTTACGGAGCAGGGCTTGGGGCCCGGGCACTCAAGGGGACTTGCAGTAGAGGTGCTGGGAACCTGACCTCCTCCTCCAGGCCAGGACCTTGCTCTGTGACCATGAGCCTGCCCCTCGCCATCTCTGGGCCTCTGTTCCCCATCTCAGTCCCCTGAGAGAGGATGTTGACAGGGAGTCCTAAGGCTTTTCTTGGAGCTTCTAGCCTCATCCAGAGCCAGGGGCCTGGGCCCTCCATTGGGTCAGGAGGCCTTCTCAGGGGCAGCCCATGAGGCGAGTGCAGAAAGGGGCTCCCGGGTTTGTCTGAGTGCCTAGCCCTCCTCAGGCTGGCCAGGAGAGTCAGGGTTTTAGGAGCTGGCATCCTCTGAAAACCTGGGCCGTGTGGAATTTATTAGTCAGCCAGGCTGTCTGGGCCAGATGGGGTCTGGGGGTTCATGTTGGGAGCAGCCTTGCAGGGGAGAGGGGGAGGGAGGCATGGGGTTCATCTGGTTCCCATTTACTGGTGGCCACAGGACTGGGGCTCTCGCAGGCTCTAGCTTTGTTTCAGGCACAAGGGGTCCCGCCACCCCCTCCCGGGCCTCCAGGCCCTACTTTGTGCCTCGAGGTGAGGGTTAGCCATGCTCCTGGTGCCCGGGCCCTCTGCTGTGCCCAGGGAGTCTGGAAGCTTCGTAGGACCACAGAGGCACTGGGAGATGCGGGGGAGGGCTCCCCAGAAGAGGAGGGGCTTACTCCCGCAGTGATTCTGTTTCTTACTTACTCAGCCTTACCATCATTTCTCCCTTCGTGCCTAGAGATCCGAACGCCTGCCCTCTTCTGGCAATGACTCAGCCCCTCTGAGCCTCAGTTTTTCACACCCGCAAAATGGGAATAATAGTAGTACCTCCCCCATTGGGTAGTTCTCAGGATTCAATGGAGTGCTGTGTAAGAAACTTAAAATAGTACCTGGCACACGGCAGGCAATGGAAGGGGAAGTTATTATTTTAATTCAGCCCAGTCAGTCCAGATCCATTTATGGAGCACTTACTGTATACCCAGACATGGTGTGAAACCCTGAGGGTGGACGGTAAGGAAGGTCCCTCTGGGATGATCTCAGAGTGAAGTAGAGGGCAGGCAAGAACCCCACATATGAACGGACGGGGTCCGTGTTTGGTGGGCAAGGGAAGTGGCCTTCTAGATACGTGCTGTTTCCTGCACCTCGTCGGGGTCCCCTGAGACCCTGCAGTTCCACCCTGACCTCTCTCCTGCCTCGCTTCCCCGCAGGCCTCGGACAGCATGGCTTCCGCGGTGGCCCCCAGGCTGGCCGTGTCTCTGCTGCTGCTCCTCAGGGCCCTGCCCGCGGTGGCCTACTCCGTGCCCCTGCAGGCCGCCTTCCTGGAGGACACAGGGGGCAGCGGGGAGGCCGAGGGCTCATCGGCCTCCTCCCCAAGCCTCCCGCCCCCCCGCACCCCGGCCCTCAGCCCCACATCGGTGGGGCCCCAGCCCACGCCCCTGGCGGGCCCCAGGCCCCCCACCAACTTCCTGGACGGGATCGTGGACTTCTTCCGCCAGTACGTGATGCTCATCGCCGTGGTGGGCTCCCTGGTGTTCCTGCTGATGTTCATCGTCTGCGCCGCCCTCATCACGCGGCAGAAGCACAAGGCCTCGGCCTACTACCCCTCGTCGTTCCCCAAGAAGAAGTACGTGGACCAGAGTGACCGGGCCGGGGGCCCCCGGGCCTTCAGCGAGGTCCCCGACCGGGCTCCCGACGGCCGGTCCGAGGAGGCCCTCGATTCCTCCCAGCAGCTCCAGGCTGACATCCTCGCTGCCACCCAGAACCTCAAGTCCCCCACCAGGGCCGCCCTGGGCGGTGGAGACGGAGCCAGGATGGAGGGCAAGTCGGATGGGGAGGAGAGCGGCGGCCGGGAGGGACACCCGGAAGCCCAGGGACACGGGGTCCCAGCTGAGAAACCAGAGGTGCCAGGGGAGCCATGCCCGGCGGTGGCCGAGGAGGCTCTGGAGGCCGGCCAAGGCCAAGGCGAGTCAGAAGCGGCTCCCTCCTTAGCCCAGGAAGCCAGAGGACCCGCCGGTCCCCCCGAGAGCCCCTGTGCTTGCAGTACCGTCCCCAAGGTCTAACAGGCCTCTGGGGCTGCTGGCCTTGACTGTCGGACCCCTCGCGGTCACCTCCACGGATGTGGAAAGGCCCTTGACCCTTTCCGCTCCCTGACACCCCCGCCTCAGCCACCCCCTGCTGCAAATCCCAGCGTGTCCCTGCCCTGCAGTGGGCAGAGATGCCAGTCTCCGGCCTACCCCGGGAAACTCCCCGAGCTCCAGGAGCATTTGCCCCTGCACCCCCAAAGGGCTACACTCCAACCACAGCTCCTCGGGGAGGGGGATGGGAAGGATAACACAGCCAATGAAATTAGCCGTATCCTTTGGGAACGTGGACCGTGGGTCCCCTGGGATGGTGCAGACCACCAGGGGTAGGAAAGAAAAGTCAGAATAACTACGAGTTTTGGACCAGGGTGAATGGGACAAGCGTCCTGAGGCGGGTGCACTTAGAGCTACCTGGACCTGATGGATCCGGAAGCTTTGGGCCCATGCACACATCGCGACAGGTCCCCAGGTGAGCATTTCCAAGGCTGCCTTCCCTGAGGTACTCTGTGCTAAAAGGATTTGGGGGTCCATTGAGTTGAGGAAACACTGCCTCCCTGCTCCCTGCACCCCCCCTTGGAGGACCCCCCAGGCTCTGCACATACTCCAGTAAAGTTCTCTTGGTCTCTCAAACTGCTTCTGACCACAGGGTTTTTTGGGGGGTTTTTTGTCTTGTTTTTTTAAAGCTACAGAATAAAATCTCGCAGAGCACATTCTGGAAATTAGTGCCCCATAAGTCCCTGAAGGTGCCCCCCAGTTTGCGGCTGGTCCAGGGTTAGGGGTATGGGGTCTGGGGGTGCTCAGGTCCACTCGAGTTCTGCCAGGCATCTCTGCCCGGGGACCAGTTGCTCATCCTGTCACTGCCAAGGGCATGAGATGAATGAATCGAACCTTACTTGTCAGGCCCCCAAAGCAGCCCAGAAGCTGGGAACTGCATGTGAGGGGGCCCCGCTCTGGGGGAGACTGGGAAGGTGGGGGAGGGTTTCCAACACCCAGCCTGGAGCCGGGGGGCGCTCCCGGCCCCCCACACTTCGTTCACATGCGTGGTCTGGCAGCCTGTGCCCACAGCATTCTTTAGCTTTCGACAAGGGAGGCTGAGCTCCGTCCTGATCTGGGGAGGCTCTTGGGGGGTGCTCTTCCTCAGTCCCTCATCTGGGGCCCCCCTGACCTCTGCACGATGTTTTAGGTGCTGAGATATAGCAAACCGGCACAATAAACCTTTATTCTGGCCCGTGTGCTGCTGGTTTACTGTGGACGGGTGGGGAGTGGGGGATGAGTGTGCTGGCGGGGCTGGGGAGTGGGCCATGTCTTCTGGGCTGTTCCATGGGGTGGGGCAGCTTTCTGGGGGAGACACATCAGGCAGGCTGAATGGGCAGATTCAGGAAAGGAGCAAAGAACGGGTGCCCATGGGAAGGGGGTTCCTGCCGCCCCAGGCTGAGCACCAGCCCGGGACTTGTTAGCCACACAGACCAGGCCTCCACGAGCAGGACTGCTACTTACTGTGGCTGCCGGAGAGCCACCCACCTCCTTTCCAGGAAATACGAGCAGTTGAGGAGCTGCCAGCGGGGATTCAGTCCCCCATCCTCCAGCAGAGGGGCCGAGAACTGGCACGGGTCTCATGGACAAGGCCATGCTCACCGTACCCTTGGCCTGGGGTTGGAGGCTGGCCTAGCCTTTGTCTCCTCACAGCCGGGCTCTTCCTTGCCTTTGATGGCAAGTTCCTGCCGCCACAGCTCCCCCCCAGCAGCCAGCTGGAATCCAGATGTGGCTGGGCTGGGAGCACGAGCTGGATCCCCGGGGTGATGGGGGCAGGGCGGCCATCCCCCCCCCCCCCCCCCGCCAAGCCCCTCTCCTCCGCTGACCCCACGTCCCTTCGGAGGGGGGCGGGTTTGGGTTTCATAACACACAATGGCCTCTGTCTCGCGCAGTGGGGAAGGGCCCTCCCTTTCTCGGCCCAGACAGGCTCCCGACCAAGAATGCGGGGAAATCCAGTATGGATACCTGAATGCTATGTGGCTCCCACCAAGTCGCTCAACCTCTGTGTGTGTGTGTGTGTGCCAGGCTCCCTCCTTACTCCCGAGCTCCTTCAGGGTCCTAGGCAATTGGGGTGGCTGGGGTAGCTAAGACGGAAGTAGATGCTAGAGATCTCTGGGGAGCAGGCAAGGATGAGTTTTCCCGTCAGCAGCTCCGTGGTCAATGGCTCCCCATTAATCATCGACTGGACCTGCCAGAGGCCATGTAATGTGTGGCCTTAGTTAAGGCCTGTGTCTCCTGGGAATGATGGGGGTGGGCAGTAAGGAGGTAGTTTGAGTCCTAGTGCAGGAGTCAACCTCTCTCTCACCTCTGAGGTTTTACAGCTACTATTCCTTCTGCTATGAAACCCTTCCACCCTCCTACTTGTCTTGCTAACTCCGCCTCCTCCTTTAGCTGCCAGCCTAGATGTCACCTGCCTTCCCTGACGCAACACGCCCCTCCCCCCTTCCGCCCCCTCCCCACCCAGCCTTTCTTTCACGGTCCCCTGGGCTCAATGCTAATAATAATTGCTCATAGTAGGGGCACCTGGGTGGCTCAGTTGGTTAAGCGGCCAACTTCAGCTCAGGTCACAATCTCACAGTTTGTGGGTTTCAGCCCCACGTCAGGCTCTGTGCTGACAGCTCAGAGCCTGGAGTCTGCTTCAGATTCTGTGTCTCCCTCTCTCTCTGACCCTCCCCCGCTCACACTCTGTGTCTCTCTCTCTCAAAAAAATGAAAATAAACATTAAAATTTTTTAAAAAATAATTGCTCATAGTCAATGAACTCCTGTACCTACCAGGCACTGCTCTAAGCACTAAACATCATTTGCTCATTGAGACTCTCAACCCGATGAGATAGACACTGTTGTTATTCCCATTTCACAGATGAGGAAACTGAGGTCCACAGAGATGACATCATTTGCCCAGGTCACATAGCCAGGATTCTGGCCTCATAGTCTGGTTCTAGAGTGAATCAGTGAGTGGGCTCTTTTGGTGAGTGAATGAATGAGTTAATGAACGAATGAGACCCTTGGGGAGGAGAGAGTAAGGCCCCACTTCTGCTTAGAGCCCCTTCCAGTGCACTCCCACAGTTTTGATGGAGCTACCGGGAGGGCCTCTTCTGGGCACACATCCGGCCAGGCACCAGCAGAGGGTGGGCTCTGGAGGGGGACAGTGGTTGGGGGCATGTGTGGGTTGGGTCCAGGCGAGGGGGAAAATGGGGCTTGAGGGTAGGGGTGAGGGTTCCCCTGTTCCCAGGGATCCAGGAATCTGCCAGGGCCCGAACAGGCCTCCACTGTCCCAGGGCTTGTAAAACCGCACAGCTGCCTGCAGGCTTGGAGTCTGTCCGGGGGCCAGGCCTGCTGCTGCCGTATAGAGGGAGGGGGAGGGGCAGCAGCACCACCCAAGACACGGCCCAAGCAGCTCAATGTGGGGATGAGGACTTCTGGTGCAGTGTGTTGGGGCCGCGATGGGTGGGGGGAGCTGCTGGAGCCCTCTTCCCCATGCCCCCTGCCTTTCTCCAATCAGCCCGATGGTCTGGGCAACCCCTGGCTGGCGGTCATGTCTAAGGAAGGCAAGAGCGGGAGGGGCAGAAGTCCCATCTCCCAGGGGCTCTGCACTGGGTGCATCATCTGTACTCTTCTTGGGGTGATTAGGTGGTTTGGGCCCTAGGATGAGACCTGCCCGGGTCACTGCCAGCTCCGCCCTTTCTCCGCTGTTTGGCCCCACCAATCTGGGCTTTTGTTTCCATGTGTATAAAGAGATGATCTTGCCCTTCCTGGCGGGGGTCTCAACCTGCACATTGAGATGATCTGAGAAAACCTTTTAAAATCATAACTCTTAGGCCCCACTCAGATTGTTATTTTTTTAAGTTTTTAAATGTTGATTTAATTTTGAGAGAGAGAGAGAAAGCATGAACAGGGGAGAGGTAGAGAGAGGGGGACAGATAATCAGAAACAGGCTCCTCGTTGACAGCAGTGAGCCTGATGTGGGGCTTGAACTCACGAACCAGGAGATCATGACCTGAGCCGAAGTCAGGTGCTCAACTGACTGAGCCACCCAGATGATTTGTTTGTTTGTTTGTTTATTTAAAGTAATCTCCATGGGCTCAAATTCAGGACCCTGAGATCCAGAGTCCCATGCTCTACTGACTGAGCCAGTCAGACATCCCCCCGCCCCCAGACCAATTGAATCAGAGCGTCTGAAGGTGTGGCTGGGCAACTGTCACCGCCTGCGGGTCTGTCCCCCTCTGTCTCTCCAGCACTGTGGGCACGGTGTCTGGCACACAGTAGGTGCTCTGTGTGTGCACACAGGGGCATGCATATAAGGCTGAAGGAAGGCATGTGTACCAATGCACCCATAGCACCACTGAACCCTCACCACGCTCCCCACAGAGAGATGAGCAATGTCATAACCTCCATTTTACAGACAAGGAAACAGAGGGTGAAGAGGCTTGTCCAGTGTCACACAGACGGGCACAGCTGGGATTTGAACCCAGGTCTGTCTGACTTCTCAATCCTTAGCACTGAACCTCCTACTTCATCTTAGAACTTGTTTGTGGGTCTAAAAGCTGAGCCCTTCTACTGACGTTGAGGTGGGGAATGGTAGATTTCATCGCGGGTCCCAAGTCCTTGGTTTTTTTTTTTTAATGTTTTATTTATTTCTGAGAGAGAGAGAGAGAGAGAGAAAGAGGCAGCGTGAACAGGGGAGGGTCAGAGAGAGAGAGGGAGACACAGAATCTGAAGCAGGCTCCAGGCTCTGAGCTAGCTGTCAGCACAGAGCCCGATGCGGGGCTTGAACCCACAAACCATGAGATCATGACCTGAGCCGAAGTCAGATGCTTAACTGACTGAGCCATCCAGGCGCCCCCCAAGTCCTTGTTTTAACACTGCCCTCGGTGTGTTGACAGTGATTGGCCTGTGCTGTAGGTCCTGCTTGCCTTGGTTCTCATTCTTAGAGCCTTGGAATCACTAAATCTGCCCCCATGGGGATTAATTAGCTTTCTGGGTTCCAAGGTGGCCAAGAAGCAACTGCTAGGGTCATAGACTTCGTTTTCCAACCACAACTCTTTAATGAGCACCTACTGTGTGCCAAGTACTGAGGACACACCATTAGCACAACAGATTGAGGCTATATTCTAGGGGAGGAGATGAAAATGAATCAAGGAATCCTCTAGATGCAACCACAATGATTAATAACAGGAATGGCCGCCATTTATAAATGGACTATTATCTGTGTCTCAGGTGCTTTACTGATACATATTTGTTCTTGCAGATTTACGGAGGTATAACTGACACATAATAAAATGCACATATTTAAAATGTGCCATTTGATAATTTCCACATACATGTAGTTACATACTCTTAAAGCCATCACCACAATCAAGGTCATGGACATATCCATCACCTCTGACAGTTTCTTCACACTCCTTTGTAATCTCTGCTGACCGCTTCTCCCCACCTCAATTCCTAGACAACTATTGATCTGTTTACATCACTGTGATTCATTTCTATTTTCTGGAATTTTATGTAAACAGAACCATGTAGTGTACTCTTCTTTATTTTTTATTTAATTCTTTTTAGAGAGAGAAATTGAGCACAAGTTGGGGGTAGGGGCAGAGGG